GTTTCATTAATGAGGGACTATTAGTTCTAATCATCCCTCATGTTTCATTAATGAGGGACTATTAGTTCTAATCATCCTTCATGTTTCATTAATGATGGACGATTAGTTCTTGATCTAATCATCCTTCATATTTCATTAATGAGGGACGATTAAAACTGYTCATCCCTCATAACTCACCTATTCACGAGGAATAACACCTCATTTACAATCACCGGGGACTGGGTTCTGAGGACCCAATGGAAACAATAGCTTTCGATTTCTTCAAGACTCACCTCCACACATCTACACATGTGGGACGCAAATGAATCATTTACAGCGCATGCGCTATGCAGTGTCTCATTTATTTCATTAATTCCGTGCCCTACATGATGTAGTAATTTATTTACTTCTATTCGCATCATTTCATTTCATTTCACTTYATTTAATTGATTTGATTTAATTCATACATCATTTTACATCACTTGTTGATGTTAATGTGAATTTGCACATTGTTCGAGGTAGCACCATGCATATTGATGCTTCTCAAACTGATACTAGCAGTGCTTTTTTAGTAGTTTGATTTGATTTAATTCAACACAAAAATACAGCAATTGCAACTTAAAAAGAGTAGAGTCAAATAACAGAGAGAGAAAGGGGGAAGAAAGGGCTGCGATATTTTTGGATAGAATAGGTAAATAAGTGGACGAATGGTGGAGTGGATGGATGGGTGGATGAGTGGTGGAGTGGATAGATGGATGGATGGAAAAGACTGTCTGACCGTTTAAATATATAATTTCCACAGACGACAGGCGATGAGTGTCGAGGATCAACATACGGTACTCTAAGCGCTGTTATCAACCACTGCGCCAGGAGCAAAGCACAGGGAGCTGATGGACGTAGTCGACCAGTAACTGGACAAGATTACGGCTGTAGTCAATACCATAAAGACTGCTCTGAGCCACTCTGTTGCGGTGTGACATGCGCAGGTCCTCATGTTTGTGATTCAGGTAAATCTATGTTTGGTTATTTGTTTGTTTGTTCGTTAAAAAAAA